TGTGAGTTCGAGGCCAGCCTGGGCTACCAAGTGAGCTCCAGGAAAGGCGCAAAGCTACACAGAGAAACCCTGTCTCGAAAAACCAAAAAAAAAAAAAAAACCAAAATAGACAAAAGAAAGGAAAAGAATGTATGTGCGGGCTGAGAATGTGGTTGAACAGTCATGAATTGTTTATAATTTTCCCCAGTGAGTGGCAGGGGGTGTGTCTCGGCACTAGAGCGCCTCCCTAGAATGTCTCAGTGAGGCCCTGGGAGCTTGGCTTGACAATAGATCACTTCTCTAGCATGTATAGGGTCCTAGGTCCCGGCACTGGTACTGCCGAATTCCTCAGGCATCGTGACACACACCTGTCACCCCAGCACTCAAGAGGCCGAGGCAGGAGGATTTCAAATCCAGTCTAGCCTGGTCTTACATAGCAAGACCCTCCTTCCTCACGAGATGTGGCTTTCCTGGGCTTTCACCTGCCTGGGGCAGGGTGGTCTGGGGAGAGACAGATCTGAGTCTACACAGCTCTTTGGGAGATGCGGAAGGGACACGGGCTGGCGAGGGAGCCGAGGGGACACTGAGCACCCTGAATTGCATAGGGACCGAGGTGACAATGGGTAGGAGGAGGGCTGTGTGCTTTAGAGTGGCGCCCTAGGCTCGTGGAGGGCGAGTGGTAGGAACTGGGGACTCTGACGGGAGGCGGCAGCCCCCACTCTGGGGACCAGCCCTCACTGGGCCTTCTGTGTTTTGATAGAGAAGTGGGACGTCTTCATCAAGGAGATGGAGGACATCAACACACTGCGGGAGTGCGTGCAGATCCTGTTTAACAGCAGATACGGTGAGTGGGCGGCGGCAGCCCACCGGGTGAGCATCTCATTATGTGTGGCAGTCACTTCTGTTCCCCCAACACAACAGCAGGAGCCATATGCTGGCGCCCGCGCAGCGTCAGCGCGGATGGCATCCGGCGTGGGCTCTCCCCTGTCTGGGGAGAGGTGGTTGTGTCAATATTTCCCTTGCAGATTCTTGGTGGGGGTGGGATGATGGCAGATCCCCAGACCTTGAGTCACCTGTGGGAAGATGGGCAGGGGTACCGCGTGGCTCCCTGTTGGCTTGTACTGTGCCCACAGCTCCATATTGTACTCTTATTTTTGTTGTGTGTGCATGCATATGTGTGTGTACTTGAACGTATGTGTGTATGTGTGTTGAGGCCAGAGGACAACCTCAGGTATCATTTTTTAGGCTTCATCCACCTTTTATTGTGTGCTGTTGCTCAGACAGTCTCATGTAGCCCAGGCCAGTGGTGAAATTGCTGTGTCGATGACAATGACCTTGAACTTTTTTTTTTTTTTTTGATCATCCTTCCTCTACTTCCTGAGTGCTGGGATTATAGGTGTGCACCACCACAGCCAGTATTACGTGGTGCTGGAGATGAAACCTAGGGTTACATAAAATGTTCTATCCCAGCTGGAGAGGTAAAAAGTGAGGCCCTATCTTTTAAAAAGAAAAAAAAGTTAAGGCCGGGCAGTGATAACACACGCCTTTGATCCCAACCCTCGGGAGGCAGAGGCCAGTGGATCTCTGAGTTTGAGACCAGCCTGGTCTACAGAGCGAGTTCCAGGACAGCCAGCAGCCAGGGTTACACAGAGAAACCCTGTCTTGAAAAAATTCAAAAAACAAAAACAAAACAAAACAAAATGTTATTAAATACTTGTGTGTGTGTGTGTGTGTGTGTGTGTGTGTGTGCCACAGTGCAAGTGTAGAGGTCAAAAGATGACTCGTAGGAGTCGGTTCTCGTCTTCCACTGTGTGGGTTCCAGAGATCAAGCTTGGGTGGTCAGGCTTGGCAACAAGGCTCTTAGCCCCTGAACCATTGTCTTGGGATCCTGTTGCTGTGATGAATCACCATGACCAGAATCACCCTGGACACGAAAGGGTTTGTGTCAGCTTCCAACTCTCAGGTCACACTCCATGACTAAAGCAGGACAGCGCAGGAGCTCAAGGCAGGCACCCGGAGGCAGGAACTGAAGCAGAGGCCGTGGAGGAACACTGCTCATTGGTTTGCTCTCATGGTTTGCCCAACCTGCTTTTCTTATAGCACCCAGAACCAGCAACCCAGGTGGGACACTGCCCACAGTGAGCTGGGCCCTGCCACATCTATCATCAATCCAGAAAATGCACCCAGGCTTGCCCATAGGCCAATCTAGTGAGGGCATTTTCTCAATGGAGGTTCCCTCTTCCCAAATGACTCTACCTTATGTCAGGTTGACAAAACAAACCAACACAGCCATCTTAGTGGCCTGGCTACCCCATTCCTGTGTCCTGGTCTCTTTTTTATTTTATTTATTTATTTGTTTGTTTGTTTGTTTGTTTTTGAGACCCTTACTGGCTTAGTCCTTACTGGCTTGGAACTCAACTACGTAGATTAGTGGGGGCTGGCTAATCAGCCTCAGGGCCCCATTTGTTTCCAATGTTGGCGTTTATAAGTGCAAACAAGCTACCACTCCTGGCTTTTTTTGCATTAGTTCTGGGCATCAAAATTGGACCTGTTTATCTGTATGACAGACGCTTTATCAACTGGGCTCAAACTTTTTAATTACATACAATTGTGTGTGTGTGTGTGTGTGTGTCTATCCCCATCATATGCACATGCAGGTCAGAGGGCAGATTTGGGGATTTGATTGTCCCCATCCATCATTTGGGTCCCAGGGATTGAACTCAGGTTGTCAGGCTTGGTGTTGAGTGCCTATACCTGGTCAGTTATCATCACTAGCCTTTGTCCTTTTCTTCTGTTTTTGTTGTTGTTTTGGTTGTGTGAGTGTTTTGCTTTTTTTTTTTTTTTTTTTTTCCTTTCTCTCGAGACAGGATTTCTCTGTGTAGATCCCTGGCTGCCCTGGAACTCGCTCTGTAGACCAGGCTGACCTGGAACTCACAGGGATCCACCTGCCTCTACCTCCCGAGTGTATGAGTGTTTCATATTTATTTTGTGTGTGTCTGTGTGTAGGCTGTAGTGTGCCGTGGCACACGTATTTATTTACAGAGGACAGATTTCAGAGGTTGATTCTCCCCTTCTACCATATGGGTTCCAGGGATCCAGTTCAGGTTGTTAGGCTGGAAAGCGCATTACCCAGCAAACCACCTCTCCTCCCCTCGTCTGGATTTTTGGAGACAGGCTCTTACTCCATAGTCTACGTTAGTCTTGAAATCACTATTTAGGCCGACTGGCTCAGCCCACCAAATATGGTGATTGTCTGCATGACCAATTTTCCCTGCTTCCTTCCTTCCTTCCTACTTTTCCTTTTCTTTCTTCCTTTCCTTTTTTTGTTTTTTTGAGATGGGGTTTCTCTGTGTAGCTCTGGCTGTCCTGGAACTCACTCTGTAGACCAGGCTGGCCTCAAACTC